TTTAAAAAATAAATGCAAGTGTAGTAGATGCTGTGTTGTGCCACCCAGATCCATTTCTTCGGGAATGAGGTTCTTACATGCACAGCTGCAGAGAGTGTTGGTTGAATCAAAGATCTCAGTTGAATTCCTCTTTGGGACTTGCCCTCAGTCTAAGAAAGCTGACTCCCCCAAGGTCACACCCCTCACAGTGGGTAGGAGGGAAGCCAGTATCTAAAAACTAGTCAGTGCAGGAGTATAGAGATCAGATGCTCTTGCTTTAAGGCAGGACAACTCCAGGGGGGTCACTCCAGCTCCAGAGCTCCCCAGGGATCTATCGAGGTCTTTGCTGCGACTACATCATCTCCATCCTACCTTCTGCACTTCCCCAGAGGTGTTGATCCCAAGGTTACTCCCCAGTAAACTTCCTGCATAGAAACCTCTCAGAATCTATTGCTCAGAGAATCTGACTTAAGACTGCATGCAAATATTACAGGTCTATACATATATCATTTTTATAGTCAATATTTCAAAGAGTTGTTTCCAGTTCAGTATTTGTAGGGGATTTGATGGTGATGGTGATGGTGATGCTGATGATGATGTTGATAGAAGCTATACAGCACTTACCAGTGTCAGCCTCTATGTGCGTGCATATTTTATTTAATCCTCACAACTCTTTAAGATAGATACCATTATCATAATATTTAATAAATTATGAACCTGGAGCTAGGAAGCTTAAATAACTTGCCCATAGTCACATAGTTAATAAAAGGCAGAACCAAGTTCTAGTTGCTCTTAAACTAAAGTCTGTGTTCTTAGCTATCCTCACATACTGCTTTCCCAAGACTCACTCCTTTTAGTTGTATCGTAAATTCTATACTCCATTACTGTAGCATCCTATGATTTTAAAGAAAACAAGAAACTTTTGTTTTAAAATTTGTATGCTAATCATTAAATTATATGCTTACTATTAAGTTTTTATAAGCTAAAATAGAAGAACTTCTATTAGTACAATTGAATAAGAATGAGAAAGGAAACTCTAAATTTTCTAAGATCCAATTGTAAGAGATAGTTGGATTAAATGTTTATTTCATCAATTACATGATTACAAATATAACTGTTGTTGGAGGGGTCTATAAAGAAGCCAACCAAAGACAGATGCTTGTTCCCAACAATGGTCACAAACACTGAGATCTTATCAGAAGTTGCAGAATAAGGGAATGATTTGCCAGATGTTTTCAAGGTAGCTACACAGCTACACAGAAGAGAGAATAAGTTTTAAAGTCAAGATTCTCTGAAGGGGTCCCAATATATATAACTAACCATAAAGCAGATTAATATTAATTTAAAAAGCTAAAAAGATGAGAATATTGTGATTTATGAAACCTTGTGTTTTCACAGTCTTATATTTTCATACAATCATCTCTTCCCTCTGAATATCCTTTCTCTCCATTGCCCTGACTTTCTACTAAGATATCACAATTAGACCTATAAAGAGATCAGATAGAACTGGAGACCTTACCTGTCCAATAATGAGAGGAACCACAACAGTCATAAAAAGCTGAGAAAAAATAGATGTAAAAGGCACAGAAGAGGATGAGCCAAGCTGCAAAACAAGAAAATTGGAGTTAGAATTAGTTTGAATCAGTTATCAAATATTAGTGTTAATTAAATAATGCAATAAATGAATTCATTCTCTCAGATTTGGTAGCTATGTACAAAGAGCAAGTGAATTTACCCCTAATTTTCTAAATTCAAGACACAAAAAACCCTGCTAAGTATTTTAATATATAATTTTTATTGGGAGACTAAGATTTAAAAAAAAACTATTTGCAATTAATTTAAACTGCTTATTATCAAATACATTTCTGAATAGTAAAGTCATTCTGTGTTCATACTCTCTATAATTACATGGCATGATATTTCATCTACAATCATAGTTTATATGATTTTTACTTCACATGTCTGTAGATACCTAAAATAAACATGTCTCACTCTTTTATCAAGATGATATTTTTATTTATGCAAATGAAAGAGTTTCTAACCTTCCTACTCCTTCAAAACAAAGACAATGAATTTCAGATCCTTTAGAATTTAATCTTACTCATGGTCTAGGAAATGGGAAATACTAAAACATAACTTATTTTTCAACTTAAAATATCGATACTCCTTTCCTAAATGTATATGCCTTAACTCTGTACATAATTCCTATTTTTCTCCTTCCTCATTTTTTGATTCTTTCTTGGTAACAATTGCAATCTCTGCCTCATAAAGATTTTATTTCCTGCAGCACAAGAGTGTTTTTCTGAGTAACAGAAACACATCCACGTTAGCCTCGATCACCATGGATCGCTAAGTCTTCCTATTAATTTTCGAATGTTTCTCAAAACCTCCTCTGGTTTTCAAACCTCTCTGGACAAACAATACTCTGCTCCATAGATGTTTCTCTCTTTCATGAGTCCCTTTTGCAACCAGATTCTCCCGAATCATCAATAATTCTCTCCCTAGCCCTTGGAACTTACTTTTTACCTTGCCCCTACAGAGCAACCTCAACTTTCATGTTTATCTAAGTTTAGTTAAACTTGGAAATATCTTTTGGAAAATAATTGTTGTGAAAGGACATTGAGGAGGTGATGAATGAGGGCAGAGAATGTCAAATAAAACAAATCGAATATTCAGATAAATTAAGTCAATGGCTCTGAAGAAGTGATATGGGATCATTGTTTTCACCCACTTCTGCATGGATGGCTTACCAAAATCTTTTCTCCACTCTGTATTTTATAAAACTCTGTCCCCTCTCCCTAGCCCCAACCTACATTCACTCAAAATGCCACAAATGTATGTCTTGACCATCAGTGGCCCTGTGTCCATGTAACACTAGCTTCAACACTGACCACTGGCTGTCAATTTAACCCGTAACAATTGGTGGCCTCTAGCCCCTTTCGTCCATAACCAATATAAACTAAATGAAGAGAATCAGGCAGAAAAAGTGAAATTGGTGAACAGCAGAGATAGGATCCTTGGTATGTTAAATGTGACATGGCTGTTAGATGTTTCTTTTTATGCAAAATTAAAGTATTAAAAGCTAATAATTATACCCTATTTTATAGCAACTATGTCTTTGAAGCACATACTACTTAACAAATATATTCTCTCCACAAATATTAACCCTATGGATGATCCTAGTTCAAGGATTAAAGGAAAAAATATATATTTTACAGAGAAATCAAGGCACTATATGAATAGAAAACTAAACTTTCAAAAATAATGTTTTCATGTTCAAAAATGTCCAGCGCAACGCTCTATTCGCAAGGTTGACGATGTTTAGAGATAGGCAGCAGCATTCAGAGTTATAATCTTCATGTAAAAGGTGACAAATCTGGCCTGGAATCTCATGAGTGATCTCAGATATCCCTGGCTCCTCTTTCTATCCCTACTTTATTAATGTGTTTTAAAAATTTTTAAATGAATAACCCTGTCAAGCTATATTCCCTCTGTAAGGCCCCCAAGATAAAAAAAATCCATTTCAACTTTGATTTTTAAAAATACTATGGATTTTAATTCCTCCACCCTTCCCATAATAGACCATTGGCATGTTCAAGATTTGTAAAACTCATGTTCCTAGAAGACTGTGGAATGAGGCTATGGGTTGAAGAAGAGGTTGTCTGTGATCTCCAAAGTCCCTTTGTCCTCTAGAAGGCCTATGATCTCTGATCCACTTGATTGGGAACACAGGTTAGAGCAGCCTTCCTTGTCAGATCAGAGACTGAGCAATCTAACCAGGGATGTAATTAACTGGGTACAAGAAGCCAGATGAGGTATGGCAGAGATGCTGGGGAGGAAGTCCTGCAGGACGGCTCCCTTAGAAGTGGCCCTGAAAGGAAGGAAACCTCAGTACTGGAGTCTAATTTGGCACAAGTCCTTTCCTTTGAATTGGCCACTAGACCTGTCGCTGTGGTCAGTGTGAAGATGCAAGGGACCCTTAGGGAAGTTTCTAATGCTATGAAGTATGCCCTGGCATCCATAAGACAGAACAGCAAGCATCTGGCACAGAGCAGCTCATGAGAACATGACTAGGAAAGTACCAGACCCAATCATTTTGTATGCAGAATTGATTTAACTAAAGCAGAAGAAAATATGCTGCCTGGGATATTTGGTTCTTCATATTTTAAGGAGGTAATACTGCTGGGGCTTCTATTGTAAAGACCAATGTATTTATAAGAGCATCAACAATTTGCAGGTAAAGTCTGCAGGTACAGAATAAGCTTGTAGGAAGCAAGTGCTCTGGGCTTCACTGAGCTACCCTGGCAGATTTAGAGGTGATATGTCTCACACTGCCAACCCATGCTTTAAGACACAGCATATTAAATAAACAATCCTGTCATTGGCTAATTTCTTGCTGGACTATGTAGTACTTTAAAGCAGAAAAGTCCCCATTAGGTTGGCTTGTTTGTTTTACTATCCTATGCCGAGGAGAAATGATTCACAAAAATTCAGTATGTATGAATTTAGGATCTTTGTGTTGAATTATCCAAGTAGTTACTGAGGCATGTTCTAGGCACTGGGGTTACAACAGTGGACAAAACACAAAACCCCTCCTCCCTAGGAGCTGCTTTTTAAAAGTTGAGGTCTGTGTACACGCCTGCTCATCACAAACACACACGTAATCACTTCTTTCTCTGGGATGTTGTTTCTCCCACTTATAACTGTAAAAGTTCTAGTGTTTTCCCAAGACGCAGTTCCAGCATTACTTCTTTGGGAATTCTTTCCAAACCCTCCTCCCCAAGTGCTACATTGGCCACGCTCTCTGTGTGAAGCACTGTTCCCTGTGTCTCCAGTATACCTCTCAGAATCCTTGGTTGTTCCCAGGAGACTGCATGCTCCTGAAGGTCGGGACACCCTCTTATTCACGTTTATATTCTCTGTGTCCAGCAGAGTGACCATGTGCTGCATCTAGGGCAGTGGTTCTCAAACTTTAGCACATCAGAAACATCTAGAGGGCTTATTAAAACATAGATTGCTTGGCCCCACCTCCGGAGTTTGTGATTCAGAATGCCTGGGAGAGTGATGGCAGTGGGGAAGAGGGGAAAAAATTGCAATTCCAAACAAGGCCCAAAAGCCAACGCTGAGTTGGGGTTCACACTTTGAGAACCATTAATCTAGTGCATCATCGGTGCTCAACAAATGTGTGTCAATTAGTGAATGACTACAATACATGGATAGAAAAAGCTTGTTAATGTATTCTTTCCATCCTTCTAACTTCATTCACGCAAGTTACAAGCCCTACTTAGTTCACGGACCCAAGAAGGGATCCTTAGCCTGGCCTCCCACCCAATCGTCTCCTTTGACTACAACAGCAATGTTTACTGTGCGCGTTTATGTGCCAGACATTGCTTTACACGCTGAACGCCTGGTGGATAACTGAATCCTCACGGCAACCCTTGAGGTGGTCTTATCATTACCCCCATTTTCATGAGGCAACAGTGGCACAGAGCAGTTAAATACCTTGGACAGAGAGATCATCAGAGCCTGGAAAGTAACAGAGCCAGGATCTAAACCCGGAAGTGCAGCTCCAAAGCCCTCAGCCTGAATCCTTACCCTCTATTGCCTACTCATCGCAGACAGTACAGAGCACTGATTGAGGAGGAGCGGGAGTGGGAGCCAAAGCTGGGCTCCCCTTTTTTGCCTCTGTGAGAGAAAGTGAGGGTGTGGGGGCGGGGCTGCACGGAGATGGGGAACTGGAGGGCGGGCAGGAGCAAGAAGAGGGAGGAAAAATAAGAGAGAAAAAGTGGGGTGCGGGGCTTTGGTAAGAATGGTTCCCAGCTGCAGCCTCCCTCAACTGGGGTTCCGGATTTGAACCACAGGATACAGAGAGTTACTGGGTGACTATTTTCTCAACTCTCTCAAGGATGGTACAGAACTAGTGCCAGAGTCGATGCATTAGAGTCAAGTTAATTCAGTTCACACAATGCATCTGAATTAAGGACATTAGGGCATAAATTCTCTAAACTGGCAGAGAAAGGCTGAGTGGAGGCAGGATTGATTGCTATCAATCCATTCATAGAAACTAATTCATCTGGAAAGAATCTGGGGGTCCAGCTGGTAAGATATTATAGGGAAAAACTAGACTCAGAAAGACAAGTAAGTAACAATTCTTGACGAAGAGCCATTGGCTGTCTGCAGAATCATAGCTATCAACCCACAGTTAGAAAACAGATGGTGCATTTTAAATCACTCCTGTAAGTGAGCTGACCTGTAAATTGTCATTAATGCACCAGTTCTTCACTTGCTCTGCTGTGTAATCAGCCTTTTATCTCCTATCAGAGAAATCCATTAGCCACAGGCGTCTCCACTATTTGTGTCTCTTCTCAGCTATTAAAACATTATTGCATTAAATAATTCACCCTTGATGATTGGTCCTTGCTTTCATTAGCCCTATATTCAGGGAAAAATAAGAATAGATATTTATAGTTTATATGTAGATGATGAATGTTAAATCTTTTTTTTTTTTTTTGCTAGAAAATCAGGAAGCAACAGCTTCAGAAGTAGAGGAGGATTTGTTCCCTTCCTGCCCAACTTCACAGAGCCCAGCCCTGGGGGAAAGGA